TTTCATATGTTCGACCAGTGATTCTTTCATTTAAACAAATACTACAAATAGCAAGATTATCTAAATACATATTATCATATAGTGGACGATCATTCGCAGAGTGAAAACTTATTTCCGGATCTTTTTTTCACCGCCTAACAAATCAATAATCAATAAATTAACAAATTAAGAATAATGTGCAATATCGATATATTATTATCTTTTCTAAACAGAAAGTTTTAGTGTTAGCGTTAGACCTGAGGTTTTCAAGTTTAGCGTGAACACTATGTGCAAATAATTTTTTAAAGTTACATGCAATTAGGTCTACAATAAATATGTAATCACAGTCTATCTAGGGATATCTTTAGTTTCATATTGATAACAATCTCTGATATAAAGATAAATCATTCTATTAGTATTTTTATTTTCTAAACTAAAATTTTATATTATTTCGGAAAGAAATGCAGGTTTTGTAGTCTATTTGTTCCGCGTCGTTACGGATTTAGGTCGATCCGGAATTGGCACATGTCATTTGTGAATCGTGAAATGAAGGGATAGTGGGGCAATCAAAAATTTAGCAGATCGACCAAGAAAACTAATTTGATAAACACGAGAAAAATTTAAACGAAGCCAAGATGCATTATTATCGATAAGGTGAGACTGGAGGCATTCAGCTAATTTTATAATCTTAAGTTCATTAGCAACGACCAATAAATCAAATATGGCTGAAACTTCGAAATTTTCTAAAGAAATTACGCCTCCATAAATATATCTATCAAAAAAAATTTAGATTAATGATTTATAATAAAGATTGATTAGATAATTATAATATTATACTATAACATACTTAATAATAACATTAAATAGTTCAACAGAAACATGAGGTAATTTAATTTCAATAATATTATTTATTTTTATCGCATTTACGAATTTTTGACGAAAGTATAAAGATCGTTGGTATAAGATTGCTGAATGTGCTTTAAAAGGTTGGATATTTGGTTGTTCTCCAACTTCAATTATTACATTATAATCATATTCACTTTCTAGGAGTTGCGTAAAGTCTTGTGAAAGTTGTTCGAATAATTTTAAAGTCATTTCACCCATTTGATCACAATGAACTTGTATGTATGTTACATACCGATACCGATACTCTATTTATTAATTTTATATGCGTGTGCTGCATAAAAAAGGTCAAATTTTGAATTTACGTACGTAGAATAAACCCTAAATTCGTAAGAAATTTCTTTTTTTGCTATACTGTAGTTAGCATTGATCCTTTATTTCTATTTAAGGCATTAAATTTTATCTAATATCGTTATGCAATATTAATGATTGCAACAAGAGAACGTAGTAATGAATTTCATACTCACTCAGAAAAATCTGGTTATATATTTATATTAATATTACAAATCAAAATTTTCAGAGATGTTACAGATGGAAAATGCTGAAACTACATTTTGATATTTTTGTTATAGATGAATCAAAATCATAAATTTAGTCATCAAAGTATATAGAAATATGAGTCCTCCACTTCGCTCCAGACCATTATCACTTATTTAATATCATGTTTATTAAAATAGAACAAATATTTTAATAAATTCTCAAAAAATGCATGCTATTTGTTTCTCAAAGTATTCTTGCAAGCAGAATATTATGCCCAATAGTAGAAATCAAAATTCAAGTGTTTTTTGTCATTTTTCTTGAAGATTTGTGTAAATTAATAGTATAAGATTACATATTTGGCATATTTGATAATGAAATTTTTTATAAATATAGTTATTATTTTAAAAAAACAATTATCAACAAATCAAATTGTGTTATTTATTTTTTTTTGCATTTATAAATTTTGTGCTAGTATGTAATGCAAATTTACAATTAACAAAATTCTTTATTATTAAGATTAGTGTTTATATTAAAGTTAGATATTAGCAACTTATATAGTAAATAACTCAAGAAACCTTTTTTGTTAAAACACTTAAAAATTTTTATATTATTTTTTGTTATATAAATAATTTTTGATAAAACAAGTGTTTTCTTGAATCTTTCTGAGTGATGATTTAGAGAATTTTATTATAAATCTAGTACAAAAATTCAGGATAGTTTAGTAGTTTTACCAAAATTTAGCAAATTCTATAGTATATATAGTTAACTTTGGATATACCGAACTGCATATTCAGAAAGGTTTTGTTTGTTATAGAGTGTGTTCATTATATAGTTTATTTTTTTATACTGAACAGTTCAGTATACAGAGCTAACCAATGAAATCATGTGTAAGGTCAGTACATTCTCAGAACTTTCCTTGAAATTTTTGCTCCAGTTCAAAATATTTAGGAATCAGTATTATATACAAACAGATAGTTCATTATATCAAATATATGTATATAGTCTTGGTCAAATAAAGAGGAGTTCAAATGTAGTATATAAAAATTTACTATGTAAGTTCAGTATATGCAGCCTAAATTCTTATAAAAAAATCAGTTCTGCCAGATCTAGTTCATTATAACCCAAGTTCAGTATAAACAGGTTCAGTATATACAGAGTTGACTATATATTTATATCTTTTTTCTCTGTTAAGATGTCCTTTAGGACTAAGCTTTATTGATGTTTGTTGTTGAATACATGGGTCTACATTTTAGTATTTACAAATTGTATATATTCACCAATTATTTTAAACTAGATACCTTTATACCAAAGTGCTTTTTACTATCTTTTACCTAAACTAGGTTACCCTGTTAATTATTCATAGATTCCACTTGTGGATATAGTAGAAGTTTCTAATCCTTTTACAGTATCTAACAAAAGTTTTCCCACACCTATATCTTCTTATGAGAGGTGCTACAATCTTTAAACTTTCAGAAATATTAGTACATATGTAGCTTAGATCATGTGTTTTTTTAAAAGGTTTTTTAATTACTAGAAAAATTTTTAGATGAGAGCTAAATTTGAAATGTTTTTTTAAAAAAAATAAATAAATTAATTAAATTTAAAGAAAAATTAATATATTAAGGCTTAAAGTTAAAAATTCTAAAAATTAAAATATTAAAATTTAATAATTTCTGTATTGGTGATAAAAAATTTGGTCTAATTTGATAAGATAATTGTTGAAAAATTAATTTTATAAAATTTGAGTTTCATTTTTAAAAATTACAAAGTAAAAGCTTTTTAATTGAAACTATCTCTAATATCTAGTAATCTGAATTTGCTGATTTTGATATCATTTGAATTATCTTGATGAGACAATTTGAATGATAGTAAAATTATCAAATTTGAACTGTTAGAACATATGATATTCATAAAAAACATTATGCAATACAAAATAGTCAGGTCTCAACAAATTAAAATAAAACTTAAAACTTTAAAAATTAATTTCTCAATAATTATCTTATCAATTGAATTAAATTTTTTGTTTCTAATACAAAAATTATTGAAGTTTAATCTATTAATTTTTAGAGTTTTAGCTTTAAGCCTTGACGATATATTAAATTTTTCTTTGAATAAAATTATTTTTTTAAATGAAAAATATTCCAATTTGGCTCTTATCTAAATTTATTTCTAGTAATTAAAAATCTTTAAATGAAATAGACAATTTAATCTGTGTATGTACTAACTTTTCTAAAATTTTCAAGATCATAGCACCTTTTTATAAGGAGATATAGATGCAGAAAAACTTTTGTCAGATACTGTATATCCCACACATTTTTAGATTAAGCTTCAAATATCTTCTGTAATAGCCAAAACTACCATTAACAACTAAAGTTAACCATTAAACTGCACAATTCTTGTATTTGTGCTTTTGTAAGATTTATTCTGATCCTGATACCACATTTATCCAGTTCTATAATCAATTTCTTCCCAACACTAAACCAATTAGCTTGGATGAGTTGTTGTATCTAGGCTTTAAGTGTTTTTCAGTTTTTCTTCTCTTGGTTTCTAATTTCATAATATAGATTCTTTTCCTCTAGTGCAACTTTGGTAGCTAGGTTGGTAAACCTTTCTTGCTTCAGAGTTATTTATCTGGTTCTTCAATTTTCAGTTCTAGCTTTCCTGCAGTATCATTAAAGATTTTCACTACTCCTTACTCGGGTCTTCTTAAACAGGCTTCTGCGACTTTTATATATACACAGATTTTCATACATAACTAAAAGACTTATCTTAGGTTTGCACTGCCCAATATCAGTTTGCATTCTGCTATATAACACAGATGCTTCTGACCTTCTAAACAAGTTAGTATGATTGTATTCTAGGTGTCTAACCCTATATGACAAAAGCAGTTGTCATAACACAGATATATTTTTTGATTTTTATTATAGATAGGATTCGAATTCTAGACCTGCTGATTGGAGATATGACAACTTACCAACTACACCAAGTTGCTACACCCTATATATATACATTTAAATTTTGCTAAAACAAATCATTTTATATAAATACAAATCTATTTTGATATTTAATACATATATATTTTGTTTTTATATTTGTATTATTAATTACTGAGTTTAAAGTAATGATGAAGCCTTTGAAATAGCTAATTATATAGTACTTTAAAAATTATTTTTTTATTATTTTAACTACAAATAATGAAATTAAAGTAATCAACAACAAAATCAGCAACAGAAAATGAATGAAATTTTTAAAAAAGTCTATAACAGAATAAAAATAATCTACATTGTGTAAGGTAATCATATAATTGATTATTTATATATTGACTAATAAAATTTGATTTATTATTTTTTTAATTATTTTTTATCTTTTAATTTAATTATTTTTTTAATTTATTTTTTTATTAAACAAGTAAAGTACTATCATTCTAAGATAAACTTTCATTACTGCATAATGAATATTTTATTATATAATGAGCATCTTCAATTAATCTCTAAACTACTACTAATACAATCTCTAAGCTCTAGCCAAAACATTAACTTCAACCTAAAAATATTAATAATTCTAATGTAAAACAACCAAAGTTCAATAAAAAATATATTATAAATATTGATAAACAACATAGTGAATTACTATATAGAATGTTGAAAACAATCATCATAAATGAAGTAATTATTGCAGATGCTGTAAAAAGATATATCAACAAACACACTTTGTATAAATATGTTACAAAATATTAAAGAAAATCACTATGAATATAATTGCAAGATAATGTAACCTAGTCACAATTATTGAAATGTTATTCAAACTATATATTTAGATCTAAAATGTGCATTGATCGCAAAAGTGAAGATATTTAATAATGTTAATTTAGATTTAGCTTGATTAGAAGCTATATTCAAAATATTAGTAAGTGCCTTTAATATTTATATAGTAAGAATTGAAATTTATTTAAATATATAAATTGCTTATTATTAGCTATAGATCCTGGTGCTGTTTGTAATTCATAAAAACTCATTGATTTTATATAACTAAATGAATATAGTATATATAGATAATAAATAAGAATCATAATAATAAAGATTATCTAATCTGATAATCCTAGTTGTAATATATCATTAATTCTCTGACTAAATCTTTTATATATTTTTAAGTAGCTTTAATCTTTGTTTGTTTTAGGTTGTAAGATCTAATAACCCAAATTTGCACTTCTACAATGTATATAACTATCTCGAAATATCACTAAAACTTCCTTAAATATCAAAAAATCTATAGTAAAATAATATAAAAGAAGCTAAAAAAGGTTAGCATTAAATAAAAAAACAAACACATATTAATCTCACATATTAGTTATTTAAAGAAACTGAGATCTGCAAAAAAGAAAAAAGAATTAATTCTTATGAAGACAAAAAATAGATATATACCAAACCTCTAATACCAAGCTTATAAAAAGTCAATTTGTGTTTTGTATACTATATTTTAATTATAAATGTTGCTTATTCACAAAATTTATAACCTTAAATCATAAAGATTATTTGATTAGTCTAGTTATACATGCCACCAAAAAAGGTTTTAAAAAAATGCTCTTTTGTCTCTATTAGAGCAAATTAGAATTTTTTATATATAAGAGCAAATCTAATTTAGATAGTTATGTTCCTTATAATTTTGGCTCTTCAAAAAAAGTATTAAAAAATTTTGTCTTTAAGTAAAATAAATTAAAACTAATTTTGTTTTCTAATTTTAATTTCGAGTTTTAGATCCCAAAATAATTTATCAGCATGTATAGTCTTGATTTGCTGATTATGCTGCAAATTTACAGAATTTTCACAAATAATACAGTTAACTTTAATTATAACAAATCTCTATATAATGAATTTTTAATATAATGAACTAAAAATTTTAAAATTTCATAGTAGTTTGGTATAGAAAGTGCTATTAGTTCTTAGAAAAACATAGTAATTTTTGATAATGAACTTTTTTCTTCTAGAACTATTAGTTCATTATAGAAAGAGTTGACTGTATAAAGAATAATGAAATAATCAAAATAAATTTTTTATAGAGAAACAAGCAACTAAAAATGACAATATCTAAATACAACAACACTTAAATTAACAACACATAAATATAACACTACCTGAACATAACAACACCTAAATGTGATGACATCTAAAGTGATAACTCTAGTCTAATAATGAAAACAACACAAAAAAAATAGCAACTTAAATAGTAAAAAAAAAAAAGGAAAGAAAACAAAAAACTAATGTAAATAAAAAACTATATATCTATATATAATATTGATCCATGTATCACAACCTGTTATGAGTATAAAATTCTTTTTAAGAATATAATTCTTAAATAATATCATTAAATTTGTCTTCTCAAATACTGATCACAAATCTTTTAAAAGTTATTATTTACAGTAAATGTTTATGATAAATAATTTTAAATAAGACTATTTCTGGGGTGATATCACCTAGTTATATGTAAAACCAATCAGATCGCCGGATCTTGTGTAACCAAAACAAAGCGAAGAAATAAAAAAAACCCATAACTCAAAATTTTATTATGTTTCGACTTCTAAGCAAAAGTTTTAAACATCAAATTTTACATGTAACAATACCTCTTACCCTAACCTAAAGCTAATTCTAACCCTTAACCTTAAGGTTATTTAGTTTTTAATAAAAATTTTATAATACTGGGCGGGTGAAAATTAGTTATAATCTTTAAATAAAATAGCTGAATTTATTAAAAGTTGAAAGATTAAAATTTAATAAGAAATTGTGACAAAAGAAAAGAATTAACATATACTATTTACAGAAGTTTATTATTAGAATTATATATTAGGCTTGAGTTTGATCAATTTGAATAGTTCACATTATATCGACTATTAGTATCCGCTAATGTCAACTAGTAGTTTATCTGTTATCCTATCCAAATCTACGCACTATTATATGTCTTGAAACCAGGAATATATATTTTATTAAATGTATCTTTTTAAATTACGATTAAGTATTACATTTAAAAAATTTTTATAGTGTGAATAGGATTAGAATTAGAAAATTTTTTATAGTGAAAGGTAAAACAGCAAGACTTCCATCTGGCAATTATAATCAAAAAGAAAAACTTTATAAATCTTGTTTTCAACGTTAATGTAATTAAATTCCTATAGGGATTCTTTAGAAACTTTATAAAGTTTGAAACTCATTATTGAACAATGAATCGAATAAATTTATAAGTTTTATTTATCAATAATATATTAAAATTTAATATACTATCATATTACTAGCCATTGTTATTTTCTTGAAAAAGGATTTCTAAATATAGAACATGAATTACTTAAGTAATTTGGTCTGTAATACTTTAGGTGGTGATTTAATCCTGGTTATCATAATGTTATCTATAACAAATTATGTAAAATTGCATTGCTCCTAAATATTGTTCGTGGGTATCCAAGATTATTACCCGTTCATGCTAAGCTATGCGTTCAAAAATTACAAATTATGTATGTTATACGAGGTCATTACGTATTTGTTTCATTGCAAAAGACTGAAGTTAATTGCATGCCTATTAATTGTCATTATTCACCTTACATCACGTTTATTGAAATGCAAAAATTTAATACCTCAAAAGCGTATGCTATTTATCTCCCAGAGTATTTTTATAACAGAGGTTATGCTCTACATCCATCCGTGCCAAAGATCAGAGCCCAGAGGGTTCTTGAAATTTATTGTAATTTAATTACTTATGATTAAATACTAGCAGATGACCCGTACCTTCAGCACAAGAATAAATATACTCTACCATTGCTACAACGAGTGATCGGACTGGAAAATTCATCCATTTTAATAAATATCCGCTATAGCATTATATAGAATAACACAGTAATAATATTATTAAAATATTCTAGAGAATTACTCCATTACTGTAAGAAATCCGCTTTAACAGGGACCATTATAATGAGAGTAGAATGTTTATCAATTAATAACTTTTATACTCAAATATTTGCTAAATTAAATGAAATAAGAAATATTATGGAATAGTAAATATTAAAAATCTGAATATTTTATTTAAAATATATAACAAATCACTGTAAATGAAAGGTTGTGAATAGTAAATGTTCATGATTACGTTAGCAAATTCGACGCCTGATCTTGCATTAATACAACATTTTCCCTTGAATATATTTACTCTGTTTTTCATCACTTCATTCCCATACATAACTACTCTAGTAGAATCGATAAATTTTCATTAAAACGTTGCTTGTTTAATTTAATTTACATCAAACCAGTCATTGAGTAATTAAGCTTTGTTAGTAAAATCACGTACCCACCCACTATTAAAATCATGAACCTATCTGCTGACATCTCGAATCCACCATTGTTAAAATCATGAATCTATCAATTATTAAGCTATGAGCTTATTAAAATCATAAATCAAAATCGACTCACTCATCGAATTCTAATTTGTTAGTAAAAGCATAGTGTATTAGTACAAGGAAGATGGTGTGAGAAAATATAGTGTATAAAGGATATGGAGTACTCAACTGTAGCCAAAATCGCCATAGCAGCCCCAATCCCCTAATTACTCGGACAATATCTTTTCACTCCTCAATTGAAGCATTACCATTATTAGGATTTAGATTTAGTAGTTTGGAATAAATAGTTTGGTGTAAATTTTTAGTGTTATCCCTAAGGCACAAACATGATGTGAAGTAATATTATATTGTATAGGTTTGAAAGCATATAACAACATCGAAGAGATATTAAAATAATCTCTTTATCGAATAGTTCTGACTTATAACTCAGCAATAGCTTGTATTTGTGCCAAGAGATTTTAAATCTATCACTGTAATCATACTTAAATGCAGATTCTATCATCAAATAACGTCACCACGCCTTATCTCTAGATCTTTATCCTCTATTTGGGTCATCTGCTAGGAAAATCACTGTTTGGCACTTGCTTTCAAATAGTGATTTCCTAGCAAATGACCCATTTACGTTTAATACAGATTTTATTGATCGACAACATGCTTATTCGTCATCACGTCATATCTCTAAAATTTTTATCCACTTTTATCGTTATTTGGTGCAGATTTTACAAAAATGTAATTAATGACACATCAAAAAACGCAATTTTTTATATCCCTTGAACAAACATTAAATGCCCTCTTCTACGGTACGCAACCCTAAATTTTTAAGCCATTTACCCGTGAAAACTTGGCATAATTTATCTTTTAACACTTAAAAATGTTAAAATTACCGAATGAATGCCTTGAAGAAATATTTAATTACCTTAAAAATTATCCAAGGCACTTATTTTCATGCCTTCTTGTAAACCGTCAATGGTGCAGAATTATTATTCCAATTTTATGGAGCGAACCATTAAAACATTGCTGTGATAGAAAACTTATTAGCATATACCTTTTATCGTTAAATGATGAAGAAAAGGCACAATTAATTTCATTAAAAATATCACTTCCCAATCAAAAACTTTTGTTTGAATACACATCACATACCACGTATATTAATAGTTATAATTTAGAAAAAGGAATCATAAACTATTTTCACCGTGAAGAATATGGTCGTTATTTTAAAAAAAATTATAATGAAAAATATGACACTATGATTGTAACTGTTAAAGACTATTTAATTACAATGTTGGCCCGAACAAGTAAAAAAATCGAGTATTTAGGTCTCTTTAAAAATACTTGTAACAGATCAACAAAGATATTAAAAGTTCTTTACGAAAGCACTACTATTACTTCCTTAAATCTTTATGGCGTTAAATTTAATTTTGAAGCTATAAAAGCACTAGCCGATGCTCTTTGTAAAAACGTCAGTCTGGTTTCATTAGAACTTCGGAATTGTGATCTTGGTTTGGGGCAAGTGAAAATATTATCAAAGGCCCTTTACGATAATACAACTTTATCCACCTTAACTCTTTATATTAACGATTTTAGTAATGGCAGTATAGAAGCATTGGCAAAAGTTCTTTATAAAAACACAACTCTGAAATCTTTATGCCTTAGTTCTAGCCCATCTAATTCTGAGAGTGGCACAGCACTTGCAAAGGCACTCTACAACAATATCTCTTTGATATCATTAAGTCTTTGTGATCTTGGGCTTGGAGTTGAAGGAGGCAAGGCATTAGCAGAAGCTCTTGGCAAAAACAATACTTTGGTCTCTCTGCATCTTAATAATAATAAACTTGGTTTTGAAGGTGCAAAAGCTATAACAGAGACTCTTTGTATGAATACCGTTTTAACTACTCTGAATATTGAAGATAATATAACTGATATTGAAGGAGTAAAGACGATAGCAGAAGCTCTTTGCCAAAATACCTCCTTGACTTCATTGAGTCTTAGGTACAATAGGCTTTGTTTTAAAGAAGCCAAGATATTGGCAGAAACTCTTTGCAAAAACACTAATCTGACTTCTTTAAATCTTTCCTATAATCAACTCGGTTCTGAAGGAGTAAAAGCGTTAGCAGAAATTCTTTGTGTGAATAATACCCTAACTTCTTTAGACATCAGTAATAATAATGTTTATTTTGATGGAATCAAAGTGTTATCAGAAGCTCTTTATAAAAATTCAATCTTAACTTCCTTAAACATTAGTGGAAATTTTCTTATATATGAAGCTTATGAAATAGTAAAAACATTAGCGGATGCCCTTTGTAAAAACACAACTTTGACTAATTTAGTTCTTTCTAATAATTATCTTACGTTTAAAGAAGGGAAATTATTAGCAGAAGTTCTTTGCAAAAACAACAGTTTAACTTTCTTGGATCTTAGTAATAATCTACTTGATTTCGAAGGGGTAGAATCATTAGTAGAAGCACTCTTCAAAACCACTACTTTAACTAATTTGGATATTTGTTATAATCAGCTTAGCTCTAAAGAATGCAAAAAATTGGCTAAGGTACTTTACAAAAATAATAACTTAATTTCATTAAAATTCGTGTAAAAACATTGTAAAATTCGCATTTAAATTAAATGCTAATTATACACATGCCTAAAGTTTTTCAAAGTAATTTTAAAAGTTTTCATATATAATTTATATATTATTGTAAAAAAAAAACGTCGATTATTTGAAGATTTTTGATTTCTTTTGTATATATGAGGTTATTAACATAGGGCAAATATTCTTATTCACACATCTATTATTATTACATATTTTATCAAGTCTTACATAATACTAAAGTCCAATCTATGTCTAGAAAATATGGGTGACGCCAAGAGAAAACCAGGAATTCTAAAAATAGACTTCCATCCACAGCGAAGTTGCGGGGTTTTT